TGATCGTCTTCCCCGTCGCTTCGTCCTTCGCTTCGAAGGAGATATGCCACCTTCGACGGCCGTGTCCGGCAAGCCGTTGCTGCGCTTCGAGATGACCGTGGCACGTAACGTCTGTTCTCAGTCGATCTTCCTATGGGCGGCTCTGCGAAGCAATTCATCGGGCTTGGCAGAAATCTGAGCCGGGCGCGCGAGATGGCAGTCGAGCGCGTGGCAAAGTTTCTATCTGAGCACCTCGGCGCGTGAGTCTTTCACGGCAGAGACGCAGGCAGCGCCGGTCACAAGTGAGAACCTGTGGCCGCCATCGACGTCGATCCAGTTGAGCCACCTCGGATCCGCTGGAACAGCGCCGAGCTCGCCGACACGCAGCTGGGCAGCGCAGTGGCTTGGCGACCCCATCGCGGGTGGTCCGGAGATCGGAGTCGCACCCTGGCGCTGCAACCTCCGAGGGGCGCTTGCGACGCGGGTGCCCCGGCTGCGCCTCCCGCCCGAGCCCCAGGTCGCGCCCGCGCAGGCAGGCCTGGGGGGGCGATTTCCAGGAGGGGGAAAAACACACAGACACAATTAATCGTCGATCCCCAGGAAAATATTGGAAAATATGGGAAGTGGGGGGAAGACAGAGACCTTGAAAATATAAGGAAATATGGGGGGATATTTTCATTTGTGTGTTTTTATGTGCGTGTGTGTCCCAGTTTCCCTTCAGATTTGGCGACAGATCTGGAAAGGCATGACTGAGGTGGGAATGGAGACGAACTGGCACGAATGGACGCAGTCTGCGAGCCGAGCTGATCGAGCAGCTGTCGCCGCGGTGTCACAAGTCCACGAGGGCCCCGCGGGAATCCAGAATAATTCCCTCGGAACAGAGTCGACGGCCATGTCCCAGTTTTGCTCGCAACGGCCGACGCCGAATCCGCGGAGCGATATCGCCCCATCTCGATGGCCGTCTGCTCGGATATTCTTTTCAGTCGCGCGGTCACTGAATATGGAGAAATCTCATCGAGGTCTCTGCAGTCGCCCGTGGAGAGATGCGGCCTGCTACCCGTCGTCGGCAATTGGCGGGGCGTCTTGCTCGGAACCATCGGTTTCAGCAACATCTTCGTGGCGAACAAAAGTTGTTTATGACCTCTCGTAGTGTTGCTCGTGCTTCATGTCGCGATGATTTCAGACTTGCTCGAGCGCTTCTGGCGCGTCGCCTCTGGAGTTCCAAATGCCTGCGCATGGCGAACGGCCAGACCGCGTTTTTGAATGCTGGATAATCTTGAGACGACACTGCTGATCCTCGATTCCAAGAAACTCAATGGCGGGAAGCTGCCCTTCAACGTGATTTGGCGGCAGCTGAACGTCCTGCAGATGTCGGTCGGCTCGCTGCGACGGGCCGCTCATCGACGCGCTGCGCGTGGACGACGTGCAACGACGTGCTGCGCATCGACGGGCTCGTCTTTGGTCGCCGCGTGATCGGCGCCGCCGTCTTGCGGGCGCCCTTCTCCCCGGGCCCGGCGAGTGTGCTGGGCGTTCGTTCGCGAGGACGGTGCAGAGACGGAAACGGGTCTTGGGCGCGCATTGGGGCCCCGTCATCCAGGGCGACCAGCCGCTGCGCCTGCTGGCTGCAGAGGGCGCGCCCCGCTTCCGCCGCGAGGCCCACTTCGCCCGCCTCCCCCCTCCAAGCATGCGCCGCCTGTCATCGCCCCTGGCCAGAGTGGCTGATGCGGCCCCTGGCCCTGAAGGGCTGCCCGGCCGAGCCTGGGCCGTCGGTGACGGCCCCTTCGTGCTCGCTGGCGTGCTCTTCCACCTGTGCTCTGGAGGCGTGGCTTCTGCCTGGCTTGGGGCCTCGATCGGGGCGCCCGCCCCGAGGTGCCCGTCTGCCGATGAGGAACCCCTTGGGGCTCGGATCTGTCGGCGCGGGGGAGGTGCCCGCCCTTCGGGGCGAAGGACACATCCAACGAACTTGCGAGCTCGCTCCGGAACCTCGGCATCCGCTCCTGGTTTGGGGAGTTCGAGGCCCCTAGCCAGCGGGGCTTAATCTTAGGGCGGTGCCGCCCAGTGAAATTTCTGGAGATATCTGGGGCTGGACCCGTTCGAACCTCTTCTGCTCGCCCATGACATGTTCCAGGCCTTCTTACCAGTCTTCCAGAATTGGGCCCTCTTGAACGTCCACCACGCGAAGGTGCCAAAATAATTCCAGGCCAGCGTGCAGGTGCTCTGCCTCCTCGGCCCTGCCTACATGGCATCGTCTGGCTCCTGGGATCTTCTATGCTGGGTAATTTCCTATGTGACGGGATGTCGCCCCTCGAGTTCGAGGCACATGCCATCATCGAGCGCGTTCCATGCTCACGCGGAGAGACCGGTGCAGCGCAGGTTCCACGGCGTTGCGCGGCGCTGCGCCGACAACGCGGGCGGTATTATTTCAACGGCTAATGGTTTGAGAGAGATGGCTTGCGTCTCTAGTTTTGCTGAGTCTCTGACCGGCGCGCCCCCTACAGTTGGCCCGGATTTGTAGATCGACCATGCCAAATCGAGGATGCTCTGGCGCCCTGTGCCTCGCGATCCGTGCCTCCTACATTCCTGTGGCAATGTGGCCCTCGGAAAGGTCATGTGTCCTCTCGCGCGCCCTGTCGAACCAAGTCCGATTGTAATTAAGTCCAGGAAGTCTAGAATGACCCCGCTGGGCGGCCCCCCCTCGGCGGCCCAGCTCGAGGCCGCCTGTCCTGCGTGAGTAGAGCTCGTCATTGTAGACTCGCTGCTCTACGCGGGCTTTGCACTGGGCCCTGGAGCCTCGCTTGCCGCTATTTGGGGGGGGGCCTTGGATGTCCTCTCGGGTGCGTGAGCTGGCGGGGGCAGGGGCTGCCGATGCCGGCTCCCTCTTCAGAGTGCACTCCTGTCGCGTGGCCCCGTGCGCCTCCTGCCGGGCCCAACTGCTCCGCCCCCCGTGGGCCCTGGGCCGCCTGGGGCGCTTCTTGTTCGCCCGCTACTGGCGGTGTTCGGCGTCGGCCCTGCGGCTGTCCGACTGGCTCAGCCTCGCGCCCGCTGGCGGAGCGAAAGATTCTCCCCTTGCCGCCACTTGCGCGGCTGCTCGCATGCGCCGTGCTCTTGTCGCCCTGCCGAAGGCCTGGCCGCCCCTTGGAGAGCGTTTGCGACGGGGCGCCGACATGCGTGGCCCGATCGCAGCACGCGTGCAAGCGCCCCTCCACCCCAGCCAGTCCTCACTGGCACATGGACTCCACGCCTGCTCTGATGTCGTATGCTGCCGCGGGCCTCCCTCAGACCCCATGCCCCCCAAAGGTGGATCGGGCCCTTCTTGGGGGCGGGGTGGGCGGGGGGCTCCACGGATCTTCGGGCAGGGTCTCAGAAGCGAAGGCCCGAGTGGCAGAGAGTTTTCGCATCCACCTTGCAAGAACGAGCTCTCGCCAGTTCCGCATGTCGAGCCCTGGAGCGTAGGCTCTTGAAGCGGTTTGGTGAACCCCCTCCCTCCGAATAACAGAAGGAGGCTGCCCCCCCCCCCCCCCGCGGCGTGGCGCAGCACATCTTGATGGAGAGGTGGCTTGGGGCGTGGCCTACGAACTGCCGCGTGCAGCGCGAGGCCCCCATGCGCGCGGAGGTGCGAAGACGGCCGCGGCTCGGTGGACCGCCGCCTCCTCGTGTCCTGCCGCCGTCTCCAGGTGGCTCGCCTCCATGGCCTGCCGATCCCCGCTGCCGTGCGCAGGCGGGTTTCGCGCACCGGGCCTCCGTGGCTCGCCCGTCTCCCTATGTGTCGCTCGGCATCGCTCGGGCGTGTGCTGTGTTTTCCTCGGCGGGGACAATCGAGGAGCATCCTGGACCATCGAGCACAAAAACCGCTCACGAGACCGAAAAAATGCACGGGGGGTGGACGCCCGAGCGATGGCAAGTTGCCCCTCGACCCGCCGCGCGTCGTCGGGAAGGCCTGCGGCCTCGCCTCTCGTCGAACGATTGGCAGTGGCGTCGGGAGAGCACCAGCGCTGGTCGGTGCTTGTCAGGTCGTCTCCCTGCCCGAGGGAGGCAGAGGGCCCTCCTCGGCCCTAATTAGGGCACTCTGCGACAGCGAGGCCAAGGTGCGGGGCGACGAGGACGAGCATAGGTGGAAGGAGACTCCTCGTCCCCAGCTGGTGCGTTCCACCTCCTCCCCCCTCCTCCCTCCCTCCCTCCCTTCCTCCCTCCCTCCTCCCTCCTCCCATTCCCTCCCGCCCCCTCCTCCTTCCCTCCCTCCCTCCCCCCCTTCCCCTCCTCCTCCCTCCCTCTCTACCTCCCCTCTCACCCTTCCCTAATTCCCTCCCCGATCCCTCGCTCACCCCCTCCACCCTCCCCATGTCCGCCCCGATCCCCACCCCCCCCCCTCCCGATCCTCAACTCCTCCCCTCCCTCCCCTCCCTCCCCGTCCCTCCCCTCCCTAACTGTACCTTCCCTCCACCCCGATCCTTGCCCCTCTCCGCCCCTCTCCCGCCCGTCCCTACACACCCTTACCTCCCTCCCTCCCTCCCCTCCCTCCCCTCCTCTTCCTCTCCCTCCCTCCCTCCTCCCTCCCCTCGCCTACCCCTCCCTCCCTAACCCTCTCCCTATGCCCTAACACCCTCCCCTCCCCCCCCTCTCCATCTTCCTCTGCTCCCTGCCCCTCCCCCACACCTCTTCCTATCCTCCTCCACCCCTCCTCTCTACCCGTCCCCTCCTCGCCCCTCTCTCCAGGCTCCCTCCGCCGTCCCTCCCCCTCCCCTCCTTCCTCCCTGCAGCACATCCCTCCCCTCCCTTCCCCTCCCGGCTCCCTCCTTCCCTCTCCCTCACGCCCCCTCTTAATCCCCTCCTCCCTTCCCCTCCTCCCTCCCCTCCCTCCCTCCTCCCTCTCCCCTCTTCCTCCCATTTCCCTACCCACCCCCCTCCCCCCCTTTCCTTCCTTCTCCCTCCCCCCTCCCCCCCTCTCCTCCCTCCCTCCCTTCCCTCCCCACCTTTTGCCCTCCCTCCCCCCCCCCTCTGCGGCGCGCGGCCGCCCAGCGCAGGCCTCGGGGTCGCCGCCGAGCGCACGGGCCGCGCCGAGGGTGGCGCTGCACAACGGCTCGGTCCGCGGGGCCCGCCCGGCCGCGGCGCGCGCGTTTTGTTTTTTTTGTTGTGTTTTTGTTTTTATATATATACACATATATATATATATATAAAACAACTATATTAGTTTTCTAATGATCTAAGGCGGCGAAGAGACCAGAGGAGAGCTGGAGAAGCTTTCCTTCTCCTGAGGAGAAATAAGAAGAGGAACGTCTCGAAGATGTGGAGTCGCTTTGACGTGGCCCAAGAGGGCCTCGCACAACACCTCACGATAGGAAACTCGAAAACGTAAGAACGCGGGGGGCCGTTGTGCCCCCCAAACCCCCCAAGGGGGGGGGGCGGAAAGGAAGTAGCACCGCGGGGGGTGCTTCCCTCCTCTCGGCCTCCAGAGGGGGGGTCGTGGGGGGTCTCCTCGAGCCTCGCGGGGCCGTCGA